GAGAACGCGCACACAAAGACTGTGGAGGAAGTTTTGGCTTATTTCGGCGTCAACGAAAGCACCGGGCTCAGCCTGGAGCAAGTGAAGAAGCTGAAGGAGAAATGGGGCTCCAACGGTAAGTGAAGCGGCCCCGCGTCGCGGGGATGCTGTCGCTGGCTCTCGTCTTCCCCCTCCTCTCCTCCCTTTTCCACCCCTTCCTCTTCTTCGCTCATCCTTCCCGGGGCCCTGCTCCAAGGCCTGGCGTGCGTGTCTTTGCGAAGCCGGCATCTCTTGCAGGACCCGGAATAGGAGCGAGGGAGAGAAGATGGCTGACTTGAACTCCACCTCGTGGGTTTCTTTCATACCCCGAGCTGACGGGGCTGCTCTGGGAAGGAGGATGTCACCTCCGTTTCCTTTCACCTTAGCGGTGGGAAACCTTCTTCCATTCTGAAATGAAGCGCTGTGGGTTGTGTTGAGTTTTTTTTTTTTTGTCCGTCTTGACCTTCATTTTCCCCTGCTTTTCAGTGCCTTTCTGTCCCTTATTTTACATTCTTTCGAGATGGAGCACAGAATTCATCCGAGAAGGTGTTCCCTTTTTTTAATCCTTGTTGCTTGGCCTTCCTAGTCCCTTTTGAACTCCTATGCCGTTGTGTGAAAATGAAAAGCTACAAGATGATTATACGGTGGGGTTTGTTGTTTTTTTTTTTTTTTTATCTTTAACACTGCTCTTGTGCCTCTTGAATTAATAAATCTAGCTGTGGGGAAATAAAGGGGAGGGCAGAAATAAGAAAATATCCTTGGAGGAAAGAATTTGAAATATTTTGAACCAAGTTCGGTGGTTCGTTTTTTTTTTTTAAGTGAATGTGGAGGAAAACCTTGGTCAGAAAGCGTTGGAAAAGCATTTTGAGCCTTTGACCCTTTGTGTGCAGCAACAGCAGAAGTCCCGCAGCTCGCTGGAGTGATGACTTGGCTGAATTATAACCCTTGGCACATGCCGGCTAACTTGTATGTGTCTTAAAATGCAAAACTATCGGGCCTATTCAGATGCTGTGATGGAGCTGCCTTAATGGGGTTTTCAGTTTGCCTGTCAAATCCAACCCTGTTGAATGTACAATTTAGGAACAATATCTGGTGGATGCTTTATAACGCTCTAATGTGTTTCTTCAATGATTTCTTTGACATGCTTCCTGGGAAAATCTTTAATGGACAGAGTTACCGGCTGAGGAAGGTAAGCATGTACATGAAATCTTCTGCTAATTCGTGTTAATGATTCTTTTTGGTTTTTTAATGTGCAATACTAAATGGCTCTGTTATATATTGCAGGAAAAACCTTACTTGAGCTTGTGATTGAACAATTTGAAGACTTACTAGTTAGAATTTTGTTGCTGGCAGCTTGCATATCTTTTGTAAGTATGAATTTTTTTGTTTCATTGGCTTCTATATCACGGAATGACACGTTCCAATGTATAGGAACTGTACATACTGAAGTTATTCCCTTTCTCAAAAGGTAGGAGTATAAGATGCGAAGTAAATTGCTAACTCTTAAATTAGTTGCCTTGTGAAGAGGTTTCTATATGCTGGAAAACAAAATTTCAGGGAATCTTTCATTGCATGAGTCGTAAGTACGTAATGAAACTAGACAGGTATTTTAAAAAGTGCTTCTCATTCAGCTTAGTTTGCTTATTTGAAGTGGGATTTCCCAATGCTTTTGTTGGCTTTCACAACTAACCTTGAGTAAGTGTTTAACTTGCATTTTAACTGGACATTCTTCTTGCCGTTGAGTTAATCGTTATCAAGCTCAATGTATAATCATTGGAAGACATTTTTGGATGCAATGCGGACTGTAAATAGAATTTACATGGCGAATATTCCAGTTGCCTTCCCTTCCTGATAATAGCAAGGTGACAGTTGTTGCTTTTGACAGTGACAAGAATGATGACGGCAGTGATGGCACCATTGTTGACCAAATTTGGTAACTGACCTTTGGATAGTCTAGTTGTTAAATGGACATCTTGCTTTGCATACAAGATTAAAAGAACAAGAACACTTTTAAGTTAATTTTTTTTTTTTAAAGCGTGTTTAGGCAATCTTTATACATAGTGTGGAAAAGGTATGTGTTTGCTGAAAAACTGAAAAAGTAAGCAAAGGGTACATGTAGAAGGAGTATGAAGACCATGTCTTGGGGAGCTGGGCAATAGAAACAAAAGCATGCAGAATATTAAATTTTTTAGGTAGAAGTAAAAGTTTATAGTAGGCTTTGCCTTGGAATTGTAGTTAACTACTTTTTAAAAAAAAAAATAAATGCTGCAGCTCTTGGAGGGAGTGGAAATTGTGGTGACTCTTTAGCGAAGGGCAGAGGTGAATGTACTTTGAGGCTGTTCTGTTTGATGGGAGAAGGGTTGCCCTGTTGTGGCTGCTGCAGTATATACTGTCGCCGATCCTCCACCGAGAGAGGCTTCAGCTGTCCCCACACTGACACCTTTCAAAGTGGTTTGGGTTTTGGTGTGCATATACTGTTACCAGTTGAGGAATGACTGGTGGCATTGATCTTGACCAGGGAGACAGATGTGCTTTGCTCTCTCTTCTGTTTCCTGGGGAGGCAATCAGACTGGCTATAGAAAATTGAATAAATAGGTCATTCAAAAGCTTTTTTTCCCCCCCTCTTCTTTCCTATTTTCCCTTCCCAGAGGGTGAGAAGGGGATGTATTTCTGTTCCTGAAAGGTCAGGAGTGTTTCTCTTATCTCATGAGATAAATGACAGTACAGAAGTTTGCTAACCTTTCATGCCAATGTGCCTTATTTGTTTTTATTATAACCAAATAAGTGAAAAATCAAATTCAGCAAAACTTATAGCTTTCATTGCTGAATTTGAGTAAGTATGATACCAGACTAACAAGAGGTCATAGAACATACACTGCCAAGCCCTCTTTGAAAACTTGGTTAGTAACTGGATTCAGTTTCTTTCTTTCAGTATGCTTAATTTTCCTGTCTAATTAAGAGGAGACTGTAGTCTAACGGAGTGTGGGGTACATCTGGGTTCTCCGCTTCTGTGCAACTGGTGTGGTGTATGACCTTGGGCTACTGCTCTGCCTTTTCTGTCTCCTACTTAAGAGTTATGGATTCCCACTATAAATTGATGTTAATCGTAAAGATTTTTCTCTTTTTGGTGAAATGTACAAGAAAAACATAGATATATGATAATTTTGGTACTTTAAAAGCACTGCCTTTTTGTGTGTTTCTGACTTGTTCCTTGCTCAGAAGGTGATCATCTGTTCTCTGTTTTTCTCAGGTTTTAACACTTTTTCATGAAGAAAGCATATTAGAGACTTTTGTAGTAGCTGTAAAGAACTGTTGAGTATGTTGATATAAAGACTGTATTACTGTGAAAATTGGATGTAACTAACATCACCTAAATTTTGATGTTCCTGAAAACGTTTTGAATAGAGTACGTAGCTGTGTCAGGCTTGTGGACAGTAATTGTTCCATGAGAACACTTGAAAATACCGTGTTAAAACTGGAATTGTACATAATGCTGACATGACAAATTATGCTAAGTCATTCCAGTAGAAGAACTTAATGCTAGAGCTTAACTTCGGTGTGTTTATTATGCTGTCTTTTACAAGCCTTAGAAATACATTTTTTTCCATTTGTACTGTTGCAAGGCATGGAAAACTCCCAGTACCTTAGAGATCTTGAAATGGATAATTAGACGTAAAATGGAGTCAGTTAAATTTGCGTTGGTTTTGTATGTTGACTAATACTGTTGAGAGCTGCTCTTCAATGAGTCAAGACTTCTGACTTTTCCTGGAGGCAGTGTCAGATCCCACGGAATCGTACGGTGGAGCTTACTGAAGTGCTGATTCTCACTTCAGTGACTGCTTTTTACTATGATTTATTGTTTGATAGACCGTAAACTGTAGCACTTCAGTAGAAAGTAGGACACTGTATAGCATACCAACCGAAACAATGGCTCCTGTGTAAAATAACTTTTAACTGAGGACTTCTAGGCCTGTGTATGTCTAAAGGGGAATTTTCATTCAGATGCTTATATAAGTAAGTGGTTTCCTTTGAATAACAAGGGATGGGAAAAGGTGGCTTGCCACAGACTTCAGAACAAATGACTCCAAAAGCCCCCAAGTCTTTGAGTTACTAGACGTGGGGCTGAGTGGTGGAATTGGGCTGGAATATGTAACGCTAACTTAATTTTTTAAGGTTTTTTTTTTTAGTGTGTCACTGAAAACTTACTCTAATTTGAATTTGGCTTTTCAGATGATCAATAGGAGTATGTGCTAGTGGCAGCACATTTACGTATGCTTTCAGGAAAGGCATAGAAGCTGTTAGGGCAGGGAATGCAGCAGTATTCTTTACCAGCTGTACATGGTCAATTAAAAATGTTGAAGATTCAGGTATGACAGGATCTGGAGGTATATAGATTATTGCTTTGTGTCATGGAGGCTTTTCTGGTGATTGTGTTGTGATCATAAATCACATTAGATTCATACTGTAATGACTGACTGCATAGAAACAGCTATCTTTAATTTTGAGATCCGCATTAGATTTTTGTGCAGAAACATCCCAAGTACAATATAAGCTTCTGTGTTCAAAGTACCTTTTGTGTCCTCTACCCCACATATCCTGTCAGGTATACGTCAGTAAAATAGCTGAATCTGTGTCACCCTAGTTGACTGTAGGAGTCATATGCTGTTCTTCAGCAGTATTATTGGCCTTAAGTATGACTTTTTGAAGAGAAACAATATAAATAATTTCTGATGGTGAGTAAATGGATCTGTGATAGGCTTGGGCCTTGTCTTGGTGTTTTGTTCAATCTGAGAAGCCTATGCAGAAATAAACTTGTAGAGTATGTCTCAGCAGTTCAGGGGCCTTCATAGCCTGACTTTCTAGGTGCAAATAAGAGGATGTTTAATTTTCCATTGAACTATGACTTTTAATTCTCGTTACTTGTGTATCACGTACTCAGATCTGCAGTATTTACATAAAACCAGCTTGCTTTGTATAAATGACTTTGACACGTTGCGAGATGTTAACTGCATCTGATGTAGAATAATTCTTTGGTAAAGTGTATATGCTTTAAACAGTGATGTGTGCTTAACCAGGCAATCTTATCCTTGCATCACACTTAATAGTGATTTTTCTTCTACAGGATGCAGCATAAACTATAAACTCTACCAAAACCTTAAGTTTTAATACAACATCCTAAGTGCATTTTCCCCCCCAGTTATTTCTTTGACTCCTAAGCTGACTTAGAAGTGAATGTTCTGGGAATGTTTTCTAGTAGCAGATATCCATGTTTAGATTAAAACAATATACTGTGATTTAGTCCAAAGATGATTGCAGCCTGTAAATTAGCATGAGTATAACCTAACCTATGTTAAAAGGTGAGCAGAGCTACTCTTGGAGGAATTCATATGTACCAGTAAAAACGTTGCAGGCTTTGCCCTGAAATCACCCCAAAAGCTACCTGTTAAGGTCAGTAGCAACAAGTATGGGGCACAAGATAAGGATTGCTGCAGAACATTCCACTGGCATGCTTTTTTAGCTGAACTCAGATTGCTCAATACCACCTGAGAGACTAACTGATGAGTGGGGGTGATAAACCCGTGAGAAGTAATTGTGATTCCATTTTACTTTGTAGGAACTGAACTATGGGTACTGTGTATCTTTTTTCTTTTCCTTATTGCTACAGTAAACAGAGGAATGTGTTTATTTTGAGAAATATGGAGTAGCATATCTGATGGGTGCTTGCAACCTGCTAACCCAGTAAAATTCTTAATTTTGTACTTAAATGTGTAGTCAAGATCTGTTGGCTTGTTGTTTTGTTGTGGGTTTTTTCCCTTCTCTCTCCTTCAGTAGCAAATAAAAATTTCTACTGAATAATGGAACTAAAATTGGGAGGTTTTTCTGTAGTGTTTCCTGATGTTCAGTATAACTGACATGGAACAAGTATGAGGACTAGTAAAATAGTTTGCATCTGTTTAATTTTAAGCTAACCTCTATTGAAAAGAAAAATCACTAAAAGAGGATTTTCTGAGCAGTAGTTAGTACTCTGTCCAAATTCACAGTATCCTATGAGAATAAAGCTCTCTTAAAATCAGTCTGTAGTTTGACATGACCTGCTTTAATTAGTCCAGGGCTTCTTTTTGTTACTCTCCCGGCTTGCTTCTAAGTTTCCATTGTCAAAATGAAAACCAAACATAAAACCTTGTTAGGTTGCTGACAACAAACTGTTTGCTTTTCCTGTGTTAGTGGTGAGTGGGTACAGCCTGCTGGGCAACCTAATTCTATCTCGCAACCTCCATTCTTCTGTTTAAGTTACTTAATGATCAATAGTCATCTGAGGCAACTCGACTCTATAACTAATCTGACGTTACAGAGATACTTGACTTGCAGAAATGCAAAAGGCTGGAAGGACGCTTCTATTCTTCTAGCTGTTTCCATCAGTAGTCACTTCATTTCTGGCTGACTTCTGCATTGTACTTCTGCCTCCTTTTTACAAATAACCATGAAAACTAAGTGCTGTTTGCCTGTCGTTGTGTATTTTTTTGGCTTAGTGTCCTGCAAGTCCACCCCATTAGGCTTTTGTTAAAAGAGACTTCTGCAAGCCATAGCTCTAGCAGCCCTAAAGCAAATATGCTGAATGAAAGTTGTCCTTTAAGCTGCTTACATTGGCTGTTGATATGGGACTTTTATGTCTTGCTATTAATTTCCCTTATATTTTCAGACTTGCATTTCTCTTGAGCAATTATCTTACTCCCCCACCCCTTTTAAGCTGCTTAAATACATGGTAACTTTATTTATTGACCGTACTGCTTGAACAGTACACTGGAGATCAATGACCTGGAAATTAAGCTGCTCTACATGTGAGTCTTAAAGTGATTAGGGCTAAAATATGGTGAGGCCCTTTTCAGTAGTAGTGAAATCAAAGATGTCTCATTCAAAAACTCTCCAGGGTCTTAAAGTGTGCTAATGGAAACTTTTTGACAAGGACTCAATGCCTTGGACAAAATTGTCTAGTGTCTACCAGGCTTTTGTTATTAAAAATGCTTAGTTAAGTACTTGGATTCCTGGTTGTACTTCCTCTTTGGTTTTTACTGTGTTTTGGTTTTTACTTCAGGCTACTATCAAATAATAAACCTGGTCTGTTACAACAATGTATGTTGTGTGTTGCAAGTGTCCCAAATGGAGTGTTGATATAGCTATAGTCTGCTAAAACAAAACCAAGAACTCACAATGTATTCTGTTATTTACATCTCTGTATTTACTAAAATGTTCTAGAAGTAGAGCTTAGATCATTCTGCTGTTAGTAATTGTGTGGAAACTTTGTAGGGGAGAAATGTGTGTTGCTGACTTCCAGGATTAACTAGATACCTTATTTCAATCTGGTCACAGATTTGATAGTTTTGCAAAAAAACCCCAAACAAACCAACAATGAAGATCTAAAACATCAGATCTGTAGTGTCAGGTTCTCTAATCTGAGTTCATATGATCTTTTTGAAATAATGGCTTATAAGATCCCTTGAAAACTTAACTTTGGTTCTCCTTGACATGCTTGGATCTTGCTATCCTGGTAGTCACTTCCATTCCCTCTTAATGGGGGTGGCTTGCTCAGTGTAATTTTACGACACACATGGTCTTCAATCTGAAAGATTATGGCTTAACATTATGTAAAGCAGATGTTTTATTCCAATTAACCTTGTAGGTGCCTGTTCTGTTAAGGTCCGCCTGACCTTATATATGCTTAGAAGCCTGGAAATGTACCATTAGCCGTTTCTGTAGCTCCATTGGAGGCAACAGTGCTGGTGTGGAGTAAAAGCTGTCCATGGTACAAGTGGTAACGCGTGGAGTGACGACTACAGTGTAGGCTGTGACTGCTCTAGCAGGTCAAATGGCAGAAGTTGTTACTGGGGAATGGATACTAGTGGTGTGGGAGGAGGGAAGAAACACTGAGATGTAGAGATTGTAGGAGATCCTAACTAAATCTCTTCTCCAGAGGGATTACACAGACCCTCAGAATGTTGCGTTGCCAGTTGGAATGCTTCAGTCTTACTAATCGTAACCTGGATCTTACAAGTTTATCCATTTGTAATAAAAATTTGTTGTTGCATTGGATTTGCTTGACAGTCTGTTTTCTGCTTGAGGCTTTCATGCTGCTGCTCCTTCCTTTTAACATCCTGGAGTGTTTCACAATTGAGCAATAGCTCTGAGCAGCATGTTGGTGGAATTATGGCGCTTGCTTCAGTAACGGTTTGCTCGCTGCAGTCTTCTAGTGATTCAGAGTGCTGTTGCCTGACTACCAGCCCTAATTATCTCAACACGTTGTTCCTATTTACTGTCACTTTCCAGGCTTCCTGTTGCTCAACATGCTGATGAAAAAGCTCTTCCTCTCTGGTCATGTTAGCTTGACTTTTCTTCAGTAACTGTAGAACTGAGCAGATGCCCTGACGTATACCCATTCAAGTCAAGTGAATGGCAGAAGCCTAAAACTAGAGTGTGGTTCTAAAGCAAATGAATTAAAGTGAAATCTAGGTGGAGCCTCTTATGCAAGTCCTCAAGTTGATTTACTTTTAAAAACCCAGTTTTAATTTGAGTTTTATCAGCTACTCAGCTCAGCATTCAACTTCAGATGTAACTATACAGTTCACTGAAATGCTTCAATAAGCCACTACTTGAATTAGGTGCTATTTTTCATATCTACTCACTGAAAACTTGTAAAGCTGGTTTCATTCATGCATCTAAGTTATTGGTAAAGAACATTTAACTTTGTTAAAATTCAGATTCTGGCAAAGCTTTAGTGTTCTAACTAGTCCAACTGATTTGTCTGCGTACTGTTTTAGACAGTAATGAAACATTTTTTGAAACTTATCTCTGCCATAGCTGTTGTCACAACTTCTGCTTTCATTTGTGGAGCAAAAGTAGCAATATGTTTCCAAATAAATAGCTTGCTCCTTTAAAAGAAGAGCAGCCTTGGAAATGAACTTTGTACTACTTCAGTAAAGATTTTCTCCTTTTCCATTGCATATTGCCAACTCATTCATGAACTACAAAACTACGCGTCGGAAGACTGAGGGGTTTCAAAAATTGCTCAAGACTAACTAGTTGAATGTCAAGCTGAAACTTAACTGAGTCTTAACTTTACAAGGTGTCTGTGTAAATCAGAAATTGAAATAATTATTTCTCTCTTACAGGTCCTGGCCTGGTTTGAAGAAGGTGAAGAAACAATCACAGCGTTTGTAGAGCCTTTTGTAATCTTACTTATATTAGTAGCCAATGCAATTGTAGGAGTGTGGCAGGTATGCAGATATTTTTACGCTATCAAATCATAATTGTTTTGGGAGGTTTTGTTTAAGAAACAAAAAAACCCACTTGTACAGTGTAGTGTCAGGTGCTTCATACAGCGCAAGTAATATGTGTTGCTAACTTTAGACTCTTGAGAGTCAACGTACTGTAAAACTTCTGGATAGAAAGTGTTAACTTAAAGGTAAAATGGAAGCTTCAGAAGCATTGCCAAAAAGTCAAAGTGCCCATCAGTGTGTTTGGCCACACACTGGTGAACACATGAACTAGACAGTCTAGAATGAAGGCCTGAATTCAGGAAATAAATGTTGCAAAGCTAAGAAGCAATCAGTTGAATTGGCTTGCAAAAGAGGGAATTTTGTCCCAACTAAGGAACAAAGGACGGAACTTGTAACCTAGTTTCTTGTCTATTTCCTCATGAGACAAATGCTGTGTTTTAGTACATATGTTAATACATTTAATACAGCATTAATTCTTCCTATTCAATTACTGTAGTACCTATTAAGTGTATATCTAAAGACTGCATGTCTGTCAAAAGGCATAAGTTTCTTCTGAAAACATATAAATACCATGGAATATTCCCTACATTATCAGCTGTGAGATTAGATGGCTTTTTATAAATCATATTGGCAGTAACATCAGTAACATATTCTAACGCTTCTTGAGATGCCAAACCGAAATTGTTCGTATAACTTTAGTTTACTAATTTGATGACTTCAGACAGGGCATGTTTTATGAGAATTGTTTTTCAAATGATGCAGGTAAAAAGGATTCTAGGATATTTAGGGTAATTTAAGTTCTTGGTAAGGTTAGTTATGTTTTGTTTTTTAAAAAGGATGGTGTTAATGTAACATAATTACTTGCTATCTTAACAAGCCAGGTTTCATGCTTTAAAAAAAAAAAGGAAACAAAATGGCAAAAACGTGCAAAATAACAGCAAAAATTAAGGGGAGCTGCCCTATTAACAGGTTAAAACATGTTAGAGTGGAGTCCACGCACTGGAAGGCACCAGAAGTAGCATTCAGTGGCACTGCTGTACATTGTGTTCTGCTTTGTGCTGGCCCAAGAAAGCTGGCTGAAGACTAACCCTCGAAAAACTCAATTTTTAGCAGTACCCAGCTTGCTGCGCAACTGCTAGCGCTGGTGTGGAGAGAAGAGGTCATGTCGATCAAGGGATGGCAGCATTGCCCCCTTAAGTGTCATTTTCTATTCAAATCTTCATAAAGCGATTGTGCAAGAATTAATCTTTAACTTGAAACTTTCAGTTAGAATTCTGCATGTAGTAATTGAAAGCATGAAATGTAAAGTGAAGCTCTCTGTGGTTTGGGGATTTTCTTGTGTAGTTGTATACCCTGTTGTAGGAAATAACCAATTTTTTCATACATGATAGTGTGCAAATAAGACAGATATTTATATCTATCTACACTCAGTGAACTTAATTGTGAAACAGAATTGCTGTACAGGCTAAATGACTCATTCTCTTGTTTTAATGGACATGGAAAATAAGTCACAGTACAGAGTCTCCACCCATAAATGTATCTGTTTCTACAGGTACTAGATGTGAGTAACTGAGTCATTGCCTTAGTTCTGTCTTCCTCAACCTTTCCTTTCACGTGCCCTTTTCCCAAAGTGCTATCTGTTAGTACTTCAGTGATTGGCAAGATATAGTCTTTAACTCCTTGTAAATTCAAGGAAACTGGGGACAAAAAGGTAGAGCCTAACACACTGAGCTGGCTGTCGTAGCTGAATCATGTTCAGTTCTGTCTTATTTTTCTGTTTTGAAGGGAAAGTTCCATTTGTGGGGCCTTATTTTGTGCCTTTAAGGTTTTGCCTAGTGTTAACTCTTAGTTCATCCGCAGAAAAAAGCGATATCAGCATTGTTGTGCTGAGGAGCGATATTAATTTACCTGGTGAAACATGAGGATAGTATTAATTACAGCTTTATGGGTCTGCACTACCCGGCACTGAGCTGTGCCCTGTAAATGTTAGTCCTTCAAGGTGGCTTTGGTAATGCGTTGTTGTTGTGGGAGTACCTAGTACCTCAACCTCTGGATTTCTAAAGATTAGGTTTCTGCTTTGACACATGCAGGAGGAAGTTTGTTATCTGGAAAGGTTGGTTTGTATCTGAAGTGCAGATATTCTAAAAACGATACGCACCCTTATAATTATCTATAATCGTCAGGACTATGACGTTTGTACTCGTCAGTAGGCTGGAAAATGGAAAATAAGTTAATTCTCCAAGAGCTAGAGAAGGAGTACTGATAAGCTGTTGGCTTCTTACGTTGTCCTTTATCTAGGTGACATCACGATGTTGATACCAATCTTTAGCGCTTAGCTGAGAGAACTGCACTTGAGATAGGAAAGCTATTGTGCTAATGTGAGTGGAAATGAAAAGGTGGTCATGTGTGGGGATTCATGGAAGTTTGTAAACTGTTAGGGACTCTGGGGAAGTTTCTGGTCTCTATGCTTTAATGCCACTTTAGTGTGACTTGATTTGCTGAAACAAAGTTAATATGCTGTTTGAGCTTTGTCTTGATGTGACCCTTGATTTCTATCAGTAAGTGAAATTTCAGTAAGTGAAATTCAGTAGTGCTAGTCCTCTCCAGTCTGAGGCCAAGCTGCTCCAGCTGGTAAGGTATGGTTGAGACAAGTATATCCATGAGTCTTAATTCTGCTTAGAGCTTTTTTTCGTGTCAAAAACATCCATCTGTTACATAGAACTCTTTATGTGGCCTCCCTGTAACAAGACAGAGTGGATATTCGTGATGAGAAAGGCTGCAGGTTTGAGTAAACAACTTCTAGATTCTAAATGCTCACTTAATACCTGAATTATGTTGTAATGATTTCCAGTCATAATGGGAAGGGTCACATAATTTTCTGTATGAATAAATGTAGTTGAGCCGAGTCAGTTGTGTTCATATGGTAGTGCATTTGAAAAAAACATATCTGACGTATTTTTCCTTGAACGCTTTTAAAATTACACATTTTTGCTGTCTTTTAGGAAAGAAATGCTGAAAATGCTATTGAAGCTCTTAAAGAATATGAACCAGAAATGGGCAAAGTGTATCGACAGGACCGAAAAAGTGTACAGAGGATTAAAGCAAGAGACATTGTCCCAGGTGATATAGTAGAAGTGGCAGGTAAGACTCATTTACGTGGTGCATACATGTATTTGCATATTACTGCAAAATTGTTGTGGGGGCTGTGTCTTAATGATTTGAGGCTCTGGGGGGAGTTTTCGGAGACGCCTAATTACATGCTTCACTTAGGAACAATCTTGCTTCTGTTCATCTGTGATTACCCTAAATGTGCGTTTGCACTGAGGGGATTGTTTTTCAAATTGCCGCTTAGTTTAATTGGTAGGTCTAAAAGCAAAGCATCTTAATTGGAGTACAGGTTTCAACACTTGTCCTGACTCTAAAATTTTCTTTCTAAAGTCTGGTTTCAGAGTGTCTTAACTTGTCTGTTTTCTAATACAAAATACTTGTTTCTTTGCTTTTAAATGTGTTCAATTTCTTTAAGTTCTGAAACGCAGAGAATTTTTGATCTGTTCTTTATCTAAGGAAAGATAATTTCATCCAAAGTTTTTTTCCAACTCTTAAACTAGTGGCAGTAATGCCTTTCAACTGCTCTTTATAAGTGTTTTCCTCGGTCCTCTCGACTTTTATGACTGACATGTGACATTGTTTTCTCATCTTTCATAATTCTTTATTGCTTCTTTTGCCTATTGCCGTATAGAAGGCTGTGAATAGAGAAACAATGGTACAAAGTAGACCTTCCTATTTATCCAGTGTAAGCATCTGAAGTACTGTCTTGTCTTAAAAGATTGGACTTTTGCATCAAGCTGTCTAATACCTCAGGTTTGCCCTAAAAAAAGTGTATCTTTATTTGGAAGGAGTGCAAAAATAGAAGTATTGTATACTTATAGCTAAAACTCCTTCATTTTGGTGATAATACCACACCGGTAACTTTTTCTCTAATCTGGACTTGACAGTGACTTTAATGTTTCTGATTCCTTCTCAGATAAAACTAGGTGGTTTTTGATTAAGTGTCAGGAGTAATTGCGTACTCATATTTTGTAGGTCATTATCAAGTGTGAACTGAGTGGTCGTTCCTTTGGGAGTGATTTAGGGTGTACATCAAACTTTTTCTTTCTGCTAGTGTCACTTTGCTTTTAGAGGTGGTAGCTGTCTCAAGAGGAGATAAATATATACCTTTAAACTGGACTATCCTCCTAGTTTAATTAGCAGGCAGAGAGAGTATGCACTCAAAATGAAGTTGGTGTTGGCTGCCTGCCCAGCTTTCATTCCTTGGGAAACTTGAACGTTGGCTGAGCCCTGTCTCTGTTCTGTGCACAGGATGATTCAGCTGCAGCAGCGCTGGCTGGGGTAATTCAGAGTGAGTGTGACTCTCAGGAAGGCTGAAGCTAGTTTCCTCTTAGTGTCCGTTGGTGAAGAACAAGTACAAATACAAAGTGCTGATAGCTGAAATAAAGGGTGAATTACGATACCTTGTCACTTACTCTGCTGCTTTCACTCACTATTACTGCACTGTATAGTCGAATCTGAGTTCTGCAGCGAGATTTTGTTTAGGCAGCTGAGGTTTTCTGCATCCTTTTGAGGCAAACAGAACTGTACAAATTACAGGTTCTGCAGTAGATGTCTGGTCTAAATCTTTATCCTGTTTTTAAATATCAGCAATAGAATGGTAGTTTTGGAAGCAGTTTATGTCATGGGAATACACTGGGGTTGTGGTTTTTGGTACTTTAAAGCAGTATTGGTAGAATTGCAAGTTGATGACTATGTATTTTGTAGTAGTTTGGGCTATCTCACTAAGGAAAAATGCTGAATTTTGCTGCTCTGCCAGATGTCTAGAGCACAGAAAATGCTCTGCTTGATTCTTTGCTATTTTGGGAGAAATAGAGATAGCATTTTCATCTTACAGAAAAAGACAATGCTAAAGCTGTGTGTGAAACACCTGAGGGATGTGTGGGCTTTTACTTATCTTGCTGTATATTGTCAGTATCAATAAAATCAACTACTTGTGCCTTGAGACATCTCTTTGAAAGGTCTGTGTCTGAAGTAGAGAAATGAATTGGAAATAAACCTCTGAATAGCATACCTATAAGAAACTGTCTTTAATAAACATGGTATCCTATTTTTCATAGGGTTACTATTGCATTGTTTTAAAATCTGCTTGTAGAACAACATCTGGTATCAGTCTTACACATGTAGAGCCGATTGTTTTTTTTAAAAACCTAGTATGCACATGTAGAGGAACAAATTCATCCAGGTTTTATGACTGTCCTTCAAGACACATGGTCTCTGGCTTGTTGACTGACTGTAGAAACTCATGCTGGTTTAAATACTCACTTAAACTGGTGGCTCAAGAGTCTTGAGCTGGACGTGAACACTCATATTTTTCTTCTATTGGCAAACATAGTGGATTGCAGCTTCAAGTGAAGGTACCCAAGTGTAAGTTGTGTGGGTATTTAATACAGAAATAAATGTTTCAGTGTAATGTGAACTCTGATACTGAAACGATGAATTCTAACTTGTAGATAGACAATGATGAAATTTTAATTGTAATCAAACTCAGAAAAGCTACTGAGCAAGTAGAGAAGAGCAATACACTATGTACCAGCATTAGTGTCAAGACCTGGAGGTGAGAGAGACTGTGTGCATGCCTCTGCCTCAAGTGCAGGAGTACTGCGATGGCCTTTGACATGGTGTTTGCAAAAAGATGACCATGTAGGGAAGTGACAGAGCACTTCATACTAGGATACATATCTGGCTATGGAATTCTAGGCAAAGTGCCAATGACATTTGTGTGTCCAGGCAAATGTCTTTCAACCAAGTGGCAGAAATAACCAGGTGATGGGTTTCTCCCCTATACTGATACCTGATTTTGAACAACTTTCTACAGGTCTTCCATTACAAAACCATTGTATTTAATGCTGTAACAGCTTTGTTAATTTGAAGTAGCTGTATGTGGGTCTGACAGAGAGAACTCTTCATTGTAGGAATTGGGAGATTGGTATTGCAGTTTGGGGGAAGTGGGGGAATATATTTGGCTCTTTACATTGCAAAGAGTTCCCTGAGAATAAGTAGCATTGAACCATTTCCAAAATCATGTGGTATTTCCAGTAGTTTTGAACCAATGAAAGATAAACGTGGTCAGTTTAGCATAACTCAAAGACAGTGCAATAATGGTTTACACTATTACTTTTTATTCTGGCTTCTTAGGCTATTTGTTAAATAGTGTTCATTATATAGACTACTCAGTCTGCCTCGTGGCCTCTTAAAATAAAGCTCCTGGAAGATATTTTCTTTAATTGATCTGTCAACAGAGGAAACAGGTGTTGGTTTACTTGACTTGAAGTAATAGGAGGAAACTGCAGGTCTGCGTTGTCACCTTGATTGTAATATGGAGTAACCTGAATTAGATTATCCTTCAAGTGGTGGATGACCTACTGTCTTACGTATCTCTTGGGGATCATTGTGCATTTAGGTACTGCAGAACACTTGATGAGGAGCTGCTGGTCCTTACACCTAGTAGCTGACAAATTCAACATAAATACTACACTACAGTTTTGCAGATGTGCTTGCAGACACTGTAGTCCGTGTTTACTCAGACTGTGCAGACATTAATTTCTTCACTGTGTATGTTAGAAAGACTTTCTTCCATATCCACTTAAGCAGAGATGGTGGAAAAGATACTGTACAAGAAACAGGAACTCTTTGGGATGGAAGTTGGGGCTACAGGTTTGCTTACAGACGTCTGGTGAGTATAGTTCTCAAGAGCTGTAGTGTATAAGTGTTACTAAGCTACAATGTTTGTTTCTTAAAATTGATGAACTGAAAAATATCCAGATGCTGTCCTCAAATGGCTTTTCAGTTTGCCTGTTTTAAAACAGATTATCACACTGCTGTAAAAGCTTAAGTTTACTGGAGGATGCACCCTTAATTTGTAACTCGTGGCTATCTTAATAGATTAAAGATGTCTTTTGTTTTAGTTGAGTTTCTATTTGCCTTGGTTGAAGTAACGTTTTAAAGAGAAACTTAAAACAGTGTGTCCTTAGTTCTTAGAAGTTTTGTATGAAGTCCAGCCTGACAAATTGGGATAAACTGATGGCAAATAATCTATTTTTAAAGAAGCACATTTGGGAACAGAAATTAGCTTTGTTCACTTCCATTGTATCTTCCTGTCTGAAATGTTCTATTTTAGCTACAGCATATCTGACTTTCTGTAATTTAATAAATGAACGTTCGTTAGTTGTAATCTGTAAGTGACCAAACTGGAGCCGCAGTAGTTCCCCTTTTCCCTGAAGTGCTGAATGGTGGTTCTTGTTATCCATTATTATATCTGTAAGTACTCAACAGCTTAAAAATACAGAGTTCCCAGAAGCTGTTGCTTATTAAATTAGTGTGGATTCCAGAAGACTGAGTTTTAAGTTTATACCTGGCATAAAGTATGCAAGAACTACTTTTCAAGGCTTCTAATTCAAACTGCAGAGCACTTTTAAGACTCTTCCTAAAGCATAGATGCCTTTCTAAGTAAGGGAAGATAAGTTTTGGGGTGAAGAAGATCGGGAAGGAAGATTCTGAAGGTGAATTATGTCCAACTCCTGTGTGGTTATGAAGAACTAAGGGGGTTCTACCCAGTAGTATAAGCAATAAACGTTGGTGTTGCAGATGTTACTGCTAAACGTCTGGGTTCTTTTGCCTGTATTGCTTTTCTAATGGCTAGAATAGATTTTCAGACTCAGTGCTACAGATGCAGGTTTACTTTCTTTGGAAAAGTATTGAGACTGGAAAAAAAAAATAATGAAAAGGACAGAATAAAGTCCAGAATGTTGACCTACTGAAGGCTGTCCTAAAAGCATACTGCTGAGAACATCTCTTGATATGGAAAAAAGTTGACCGCAAGGTTTTTTTTGGTGTTTTTTTCTTACGTAGTGCCAGTTGTTGCATTTGGTTTTTAGAGACTAAGTGTGTATTTTGCTTTTTCCATAAAGTACTGCATTTGAACCAGAAAAAATATGGAAGTAAGATCAACAGTTAATAAACACACATACAAGTAGTGCATAAATCTGTGGGCTTCAGAGAGTGTTTTGGCTGTCAAATTGTAATGTATCAGAGGCAATTGAGATAACGGGACACAGCCCAAACTCCATTCCGTGCTCCACTGACGTCTGGAGTTATGTGAGGTTCAAGTCAGGGCAGAGCCTAAACTCATATCACTTGCAACACACATTTGAAAACTTATGAAACTCACCTCCAATTTTTTTCCCAATTCTTGTAGCGTTTTTCTCCAGAGTTGCCAAACAGGAAGTAAAAATAGTGAAACTGATTCTATTTTGATTGTTTGAATTTGGAACACATCTAATGTTCTATACTCTGATTAGAACCGATACTGCAGTGGGGTTTTATAAGCACAGATAGTACTGAACAAAATGCTTGAACATCAAGATAACGTTCTGTTAATACCACATCACCCTGGCAAAGCGAGCCTTTTTTAAGGCTAAAGAAAACCTGCACTTGGAGTTATGCTGTGCTTCCAGAAGTCTTATTGTTTGTTCTTGTTAGCCAGATGCAACTTGAAAATAGGACTTCAGCTTTGGTGTGAAGGCGTCCTTCTTCTCCACCTGGTCTGGCAAAAGTTGAAGCTTAGCTTACCAGTTTGTTCTTTCTGCTATTGGATATTTCTGTAGGCTGATCACAAGAGTTCTCAATGTAGAAGACTGATATAAATAGATCTACTGATTAAAAGCTAAAGCTAGACAAATTCAAATGAGAAATAAGCGCAGACTTACAGACAGGATACCTGTCCATTGGCACATTCAATGTTCTGGTGCCCTCTTCAGAGAGAATGACACTTAGAAGTATGTTTTTACAGAACAAAAAGAAATAAAATAGGAATGATTTGAGTCCTATGTACTGTTTAATACAGTATTTCAGTTTTTCTCAATATAACCCTCAGTTCCAACCTTAAAATATTTTGCTTCCAGAGAGCGAAGCTTTTTCTGTATTTTTGGTTTTCGTTGATAAGAATGCAAGATGTATAAGTTTTCTGATTTTTTTTTTTTTTTTTTTAATTTCTACCTCTAAGATTTCTTAGGTTAGGATAATCACTCTTCTGCATACACTGCACAGTAAGCTCCATGGATATTTTCTGTCTCTCCAGAATGCAGAACAGCGTGTGATAGAGAAGACTTATTTCATGAACGTTGTCTAATCTGGAGCATGCATCCTAAATGCAAAGAATGAATGTACTGAAATGTATTGTGTTGTCACTTTGGCAGTAAAAGCAAATGCTGTTTTACGAGTATAGTTAAAACTGAATGGATGAGTGCTATTATAATATTCCTCTTGTTGGAAAATAAATCTCTTACTGGTTTGGAGTGGAAACTCAGACTTCAAATATATTTCATAGTGACTCTTCTGATTTTGACAGTTTGACACTCTTGGCCTTGTATGAAAGCATAGATGGACTCAATCTTCCTGTTTTGTAGAGCTTCTGATTTTTTGGTAGCATTTTATTATACCCTGCACAGGAAGTGTTAAATACTTAAACCTCATTATTACGGAAGAAAAATTAAGTTTCTGATGGTCTAAGGAAATCAAACACAATAGGAAGACTAGATTGTATGCATGCAAGGGGGGAAAAAGAGCTAAACTGAGCTCGTGTTAAGGAAGTTTAATATAAAAACCAGTTGTGCTGCAACAGCTGTACCTCTAAATAGAGACAGTCCATTTTGTTCAGGTGTAAGTTTTAATTATTACTATCCCCCAGCAGAATCAATGCTCAATTCTGGTTCATCAAAGTATGTAGCATCTGTTTGTGGTGGTTTTAGCCCACTCATTTCAGTGCTTAAACCTTATGGTGATACCCATACTTCATGTAAGAAGCTTCAGTTGCCTCAGTTTATTCGTAAATAATCACAAAATGGTGCGTTTTCTAATTTAAAGAATAAGAAACTTATTTTTGGGCAAGAGAGAGGACTCTTAAAGAGGCTAAAGATCTCATTAGGAAAAGTAGTTTAAATAACTGTACCCATAATAACATATAATGTTGAAAGAGTTAAAATAGTTGCTAACAATGTTTTTTGGCAAAAGAATTAATACTTACTGCTTTTCTCTTTTGATGATAAACCCCATACATAGTGTATTTTGAGTCAGATGTTTGAATAGCAGTGTGGTGGATTGTATCTGCTGAATTCGATAGTATTTCTGCCTTAGCCTGAGGAAATTAGAGCATCCTAATAAAGCAGGAGAAAGACCGTAGTGTCTTAAAAATCAAAATACATGGAAAGTGTCGACAATGAACTTTGATCTGTTAAGACACTTGATAGCAGGGGAAACGACACAATTTGTACTTTTTTTTTGTCCTCTCCATTTGACGTTTTATGAAAGTTGTTTTGGGGATGTTTTTACTCACTTTCAGGAACTGTTGTTTGTGTTCCTAAACGAGAATCATAGAATCATTTAGGGTGTTCAACTGACTTCGAAATATATCCCAGTTCTTCAGAACTTGCCTAAAAAAAAAAAAAATAAAGTTGGATAACAGTGGCAGAACAGTTTAGAGCTGTACCGATAATCTTTATTGCAGAAGTCCAGTTCCAACCCCAACCCGCTGCTGGCAGATGTGGTTGACATTAGCTTTGGTTAATGATAAACATAAATAAGAAAGTGTTGGGTGCATTTTGTGTATGAAGACCCATTCTGACTTCTACAGGAAAAAATACTTTAATTTACTGCTATTACTTAGATGGGTTTTTTGCAAACAGATCACTTTTTTGGTAAAGAAGATGAATTGTTCTTTTAACACTTACATTAACATCAAAACAAAGCAAAACTTTTTTCACTTTTTATGATGTACCTGTAAACTTCCTCGTAGCAAGTCTTCAGTTATGGGAGGATCGGAGGCAGTTGGGAGAGCTGGTATCAGTGTTCAAAGTACACATTTAAAGTAGGAGTTTTGTTTTGAGGACTCCTGTATGTCATAGTGGTTTCTTGGGGGTAAAGTTAGTATTGCTTCCTGAGCCTGGAAGTTGACCTATAAGATTGCCACGATACTGCGAGGAGCAAGATAAAATGTGAGGAGCTTTGAACTTGAGAAGAAAGGCTAGGATGTTAGGTATAATGAGGGAGAATCTTGGCAAGATAACTGCCAGTTAATTGTAGGGAGCTGAAGAACCCAGTGTTTCCAGATATCAAATTGTATTTTCAGTGGAGCCATATGGAGCGATTGACATAAACTTGAAATTCATATTGAAACTAAATGTCACTCCATTTTCTGTCAAGGATTGGAAACTGTAAATTGTCTGCTTCGGTGTAGACTCATGCACAATTAAATGAAATAGATATTTTTTTTTTTTGCCCTCTTACAAGGGCCAGGCTGTTTTTAGATTCCTTTGTTGTGTACTGAAGTTCAATATTAAAATTCTAAAATGGGATTCTGAGTATAAATAAAAAGATTCTATGAATAAAGATGTAATGATTTGAACCAAATCCTGTTCTCACTCTTCCAAGAAGCAATCAATTTTATAGTTAGAAAGGATGTTTTAATCAGTAGTGAAGTATTTAACTAAACTACACTCCAAGAGTATGTATCGTGGGCAGTTTTGAAAGCAGCTTATTTGATTTCTTCAGAGCTGTAGTAGAAATCAAGTGACTGTTTAGGATTAAAAACTTTGGTTGAAATAATGGATGAAAACACTTCTGCAACTGACTTGTTACTTTAGACATAAAACTATGAGATTATATCCATTTAGGCTGTACCAGCTCTGTACTGAGCAGCACAAATACGTATTCACCTTCTGATTTCTTGTCTTTCAAGCCTTGGGTAGTACTTTTACTGGTTATGTGAACTGAAATGTAATTGAATTTAAAAATCCCCCAAAAAACCCAACAAAAACGCCAGATTTCTTTCCGGTGTTAAAGTATATGGAAAAAAGCCTTCTACTTGTAGATGAGATCTGCACTAGACTGCTCACTAAACATTTCCTGTGGGTTCCTGTCTGTCACAGGATGATTTCCTATCTATATTAAATTTCAGTTATGGTCATGGAAGTATATTCAAGACTATAAATGACTTGGTGTCATAGCTGTTATTTTGCAAAAGAGCTGCTTAAAATACTTTTGTAATTGGCCCTGATGTGCAGCTTTCCTGCCTATTGGAAATGCCTTGAGTATTTTACTACAGCCTTCTCAAGCAGAGAGGGTGAGTGAATCGTGTCATGTCTTAAATGGTTGAGATAAATTTATTACGATACTGCATCTTTCTAAGTTTAACACTTCAGTTCTGGTGATTCAGGCGATTGATAATGATAGTTGAGCATCAGTATTTCCATGAAACTATCAACAGGGTGCTAGAGCAGGGGTTTCTCCTGGTGCTTCAGGAATATTGTGTTTGAACAACTTGGAGCTGTTCAAAAGAAGTAGGTTGGAAAATTACTTGCAAGCTTTGCCGTATGTTCTGTCCAGTTGCTTGAATGTTTTAAGATTATTTTTTAACAGCTTGTTTTGTGTTTCAGAGTGATTAAGTCTTTAACAGTGTCAGATGTGGTGGTGTATTTGAGTTGGCTGTAGTTTTCCAGCTGCTTTGAGCACTAATTTGAAAATGCTCGTGCAGATTGAGAGGCGTTGTACCAGTTGCACCGAGGTATTAGCCTGCTGCTCAGTGGTATCTGAAAACCAGCTGCTACGACATGTCTGCATATGGACCCCCTCGTGACATCAGGAGAGCATATCGAATAGTTTGGCCATTTTTGGCCTAGGTCACCGTTTGTCTAATGCTATTTTCTCTTGCTGCTCAAGGGCATTGTGGCTTCAACTGTTTCGCGCGTGCTATAATGATGCAAAAAGGGAATTTGTGGTTATTTATCATGTCCTTTCGTATACATACGCTTACAAAACCACATGTCTAAATCTACAAGCAAAACTACACAATCTTTTGCGGATTTTAATAGCTGGAGTTTCTTTGACCTTACAAAAAGTCACGTGGTGCAAGTTTACTTAACTTTTGAAGTAGCCCTTCATTCTCCTCTTCAGCATTTTGTTCCATAGTTTTCCTGTGTGGGTGGTTCTGTGTTGTAAGGTTGTAACACCACTGCGGAGTTTTTCATATTATTTGTTAACGTGCATTATTGCTGTTAGTTGCATAAGCAGTTCCTGCAGGAATTGCAGCTTGTTTTAATTCTACTGCAGGGACACAATCCATCTACTGAGAAGATCAGCTCTTTTTAGTAGTTATTCTCTCTTCTTTGTTTCTTTTCATTATTTTATAATAAAAAAAAGAAGTTGACACTGCATACTCAACAGTGCTAAGTTATGTTAGGAGTGTTTAACTAGGTGCCTTCATTGAGAACCCCCCATATGAGTCAGAAACATGACTCTCATTAATGTGCTTTAGCAAATCAGTTTGCATGCAGCCATTTATTTGCATTAGTCACAAAATGGTGCAGCTTTAGTTCTTCTCTTAAAAACTAGGAAAAGCTAGATAAGAGAAAGTAGGAAGGTGGAAGAATTATTTCTGGCATGATAGAGATGCTGAAGCTAAGCTGGCCACATGGCTCTAGCAACTGACTTCATCACTCTCTGCCATTTTTAGGAGTGTGCTGTTAACTCCTTGTATGCTCTGCTGCCTTGGTGTCTCAAATGCTTGTTAGTAGAGGCTTTTTTTGTAGGTGGTTGATTGTTTGTTTTTCTCCGGTGTTGTCTTCTGCAAAGTAGAAATATATATGACGAGATAAACATAACACAGAGTTCTATGAAAATTTTAACTGGGATATGGATTGTGGTATGTTTAATAGAGGAGCATTACTGAAAAATAAAGCCAGTGTGTGATCTGAAATTCAATTCCAACTCTGAAACATCTGGCAGTATTGAAGTATAACTTTAAAAGAGCAGATTTTCAGAAGCATGTTATTCTCACAATTGGCGCCAAAGAAAAGGAAAGTACAACTTCTTTTTCTTTCTGAATAAACAAATGTGGATAACAACCCGAAGACTTTCCAGGACCAGTCGTTCTGAAAAGGAAACTTGATTCATCTTAGCTATGGGTTTTGGTTGTTTATAAATACGTATTCCGAAATTGATCTTTCTCTTGAGAATGTTTTCCCTTTGCTTTCAAGTGGTAGTCAGATGATTAGAAAAACAATCCTGTGATTTACGACTTCTTTGAGGTTAGGTAGGGGTAGAGATCTTGAAGGCAAATCTAAATTGCCGAAGTATATTGGATGTTCAGAAAACTGGAGTATTGGAAACCACAAAAGCTATAATAGGCTGTTAGTAATCTTAGTTATCTGAACAGTTACTGGAAAATCATTTCCCTGGCTGATAGAGGTAATAGTATGCTTGGTTAGAAATCTCTCAAATAACAAAATTCTAACTTTGTCTTG